AGATGGCCAACAAGGGAGGGCAGTTGTGGGTGATCAAGCCTGCAGGGGAGGACAGTTTTGAGGAACCAGGCCTGAAAGGGAGGGCAGTTGGAGGTGACCAAACCAGCAGGGGAGAGCAGTTAGGGGGAGACCAGGCCAGCAGGGAGGGCAGTTAAGGGTGATCAGGCCTGCAGAAGATGGCAGTTGGGGGCAACCAGGCCTGCACGGGAGGGCAGTTGTGGGTGACCAGGTCAGCATGGGAGAGCAGTTAGGGGCAACCAGGCCAGCAGGGGAGGGTAGTTAGGGGCAACCAGGCCAGTAGGGGAAGGCACTTGGAGGGGGATAGGGCCTGCAGGGATGGGCAGTTGAGGGGAATAGAGCCTGCAGGGAAGGGCAGTTAGGGGGGACCAGACCTGTAGGGGAGGGCAGTTAGGGGCGGCCTGGCCAGCAGGGGAGGGCAGTTAGGGGTGACCAGAATGGCAGGGGAAGATAATCAGGGGCAACAGGTTGGCAGGGGAGGACAATTAGGGGTGACCAGGCCTGCAGGGGGGGATAGTTAGGGGCAACGGGTCATCAGGGGAGGGCAGTTAGGGGCAATTGGGCCAGCAGGGGAGAAGTTAGGCATCAATCAGGTTGTCCAGGAAGAGGTTAGGGAATGATCAGGCCGGCAGACAAAAGCAGTTAGGGGCAATCAGGCAGGCAGGCAGGCAGGCAGGTAGGCAAGTTATTGGGAGCCAGCAGTCCTGGATTGTGAGAGAGATCCCAGATTGAAGAGGATGCAAGCTGGGCTAAGAGACCCCCACACTGTGCATGATTTTCATGCACTGGGCCTCTAGTGCAGTTTTGGGTGACTGGGACAATGCAACACTCATTCTGCTTCTTTTTAGAAGTTTGTTTTCCTTTTTGTCTTTTTCACAAAACTCCTCTCTCTTTCTCTGCCTTTTTTATTTTTGTTAATCAACTTCTGTGTAAGCAATATTCAGGATTAGATATTTTCTTTTACTCAGATCCTAAATATAACTACAGAACTATTGCAAAAAAAAAAAATCATGTCTTGGAAAAACCATGGAGGATTTAAGATATGCTTTTATTCCAGACCAAAAGCCATTACTCAGTAACAAATCATGTTAGAACTTGCATACACTCAACACATGCTCAGACTTAATGCAGACACATCATTTAGAAATTTACATTTTAGAAGTACTTTGATTTAGAATCAATAGACTAAATTCTTTACTTAGAAACTAAGAAGAAAGTCTTACCTCAGAGGTTTCTATGTTAACAAATATCTCAACAACTGAATGCATGGATGTACATCTGGAGAAAAGTTCCAGTAACTACTACATCTGTGTAACTTTCAACATGTTACTTTAACCCTTTACCTAAGTCTTTCCCATATGTAAACTGAATATAATGATAAAGTGTTCTGTATAAGGGCACTGGATAAGGGCAAACACATCTGTAAAGTGGAATATGCCAGCTAAGGGACCAATAATTTATACTTCTTTGGATCTCAGCATTTAGAGTTGCCCTACTGGGCCAGGTCTTCTGAGAAGAAGTCGCTATGGTGTGTGAGGTATATCTGAGAAAGGAGCCATGAGGGTAGGGAGAGCTGCGTTGAGATCACTGTGAACCGGATGTTCACAGCCTATGCTAAGAGAGAGGGAAAGAAGAAGCATCCCTACAGATATAATAAACTGACATGCATCCCTACTGATGGAATAAACTTACCCTTTTCTGAAAGACGCTCAAATATTTTTCTTCTTTTGCAATTCATCTCATACTGTGTTGCGTCTTCTCGTCTCACTTGTGAGGTTTTGAGGTCCTGGAGGACAGAGTCTTTGGCATACCTATTTATATTCTACAGGATACCAAGCACACTGCCTCACTCAATAAGCGTATGTTCAAGGAATAAATTAGTTGCAATCTCCCTCTCTTCAAAAGTGATTATTTATCACTAAGGTACACCAATAAAGTAATAAACTCTCTATCCCGGCTGAGTAGTCTTCAAGAATACAAAGTAATTGCCATGTGTGCAACTAATTTCTCTTTTTCTCTCCGGCAGTGATTACGTTAAGGGCCTGGCATAGGGAATGGGAGTGCTGAGTGATAGGGCACAGCCCTTTCTCTGCAGATGTTTATTTACTGTCTTTGAGACTGACACAAATGAAAGTGATTACCATGTAAAATGAAATAAATGTTAGCTAGGAACTTATGTGAAAAATATATCCCAAATAGAGAACTTACTGATATATGGGTTTGTAAGTATACTTTTGGGAAATATTTTTTAAAATACTTAAAAGTCCAGGTGGTAGTTTCCATCCTGATATCTCCTTGAACCTTAATGTAATAAATATAATGATGGGTTTTTCTTGAGCAAGTCTCAAAATTATAGAAATCTTGTAGAAATCGCCTACTTATTCTCATAAAGCTATTTAGGCTGCCTGGTACCCAGTTTGTTTGATTGGGTTGTAAGTGAGTATGTTACCTTTGTAAATAATAGTTGCTTGGTGAAAAATGTTTGGGATTCAGTGGGTGTGTGGGGGTGGTGAGGGGTGGGGTGGTGGTGGTTAATACTTGCAATGAGTTATCCCGTTAAGAGGTGTGATCCTTGTTATAAGCGATACATCCTTGGTGCCATGCATGTGGCTACAAGATGACAGTTGGAGAGCCAATCTGACTATGAAGTTTTATGAAATAAGGAATTTTAAAATGTAGCTTTGGAAAGGAAAGGCCAGTTAAATATAGAAGAGTGCAAAGTACTTTGGAGAACTTAAAATGTTCAAGTGGGCAACACAAGCAATTTTTAAAAAAAGTAATTAAATTACACAGGATAATAATAGTAGAGGATTCAGTTATATATAGCTTTTATATGTTGACTATATTTCTAGGTTTTATTTCCTTTTAGCACTCTGCTCCAGCTGAACTGAGACAGGAAAATGGGTACTACATTCTTTATGATTAGAAGGGATTCTTTTGCCATTAACCCATGCTAAATTGATAGTTTTTATAGCTCGACAAGAGACCAAGTCATCATTACCAGGAGGGAAATACCTAAATCATCTGGAGATGGCTGTTCTGTTCTGAAGGAAAGTTTGAGATGACTGCTTGAGTGTCAAAGTCTCACTCCTCAAGTGGTTTTGCTGTAGAATAATGTATCATACCCGTTGGAGTGGGTATGATACATTAGGGAGCTCGTGAAGGAAATTTCAGAGGCAGAGCTGATAAATTCTAAAGGGAATTCTGATTTGGTCCTCAGACTGAAAGATAGATGCTTATATCTTAGGCACCTATGCAAGTACACAGAAGATAGGAGAAAGCAAGAGAAAGACCAAAGAGTACAAGATGTGGGAGAAACATACATCAGAAGAGCATGGAACTCTATGGCTTGGCCAGCTTATGATTTGTTGAGTTGTGAATATTAACTTGGGGAGCAATTTTGGTGATGACTGAAATTTTTAAAATTTCTTTAATGATGATTCACGGAGCCTGAGTATCATATTGCCCTAAAATCCCAGAATTCTAGAAAACACTTTTAGTAACAATGGCAATGCCTAGACAGATGAGTATATATGGTTGATAAAATACTCTTTTTTTTTTTGCTTTTTTATTTTATTTTTTGATTTGATTTGATTTGATTTATTTTTATATATTTTTTTGATTTTTTTTGCCCCCTCCATCCCTCCCACATATCCCCTCCCTCCCCAGAGTTTTATGTCCATTGGTTGTACTTATATGCATGTATACAAGTCCTTGGATTGATCTATTATCTCCCCCAGATCCTCCTCCCCTCCCCACTGTAATTTGACAATCTGCTTGTTGCTTTACTGTCTCTATATCTATCTTTTGGTTCATCAGTTTATAATGTTTTAGGCAACTGGTAAGAATGAGTTATCGGAGAGTGATTTTGGAATGCCTGTGTATTTGATGTATAAGTCATAAAAGGATTTCCCCCCTAAAACCAGGCCTTTTTTATATTTAAAACGTTGCTACCATAGTTAAGAACAATTTTGTGCAGATTGAAATACTTTCTTGAAAGCTTATTTATATTTTGCAAACAAATTTGTGACCATCCAGGCTTAACCATCATTACTTGGAATGTTTCATATTGATTACATGTCTACCTTTTTACACTGATGTTGTGCTACAATATTATAAAAATTATTCTCAAGATGAAGTAGATTCTTAAATTAGTATTTTCCTATATTACTCAAAATATTTATAGTGATGACATGTTTTACTTGCATATGGATATATGGCTGCAGCCAGCCTCTAAAAGAAATAGACAGGAAATAAGATTAATTAGTTTGATAAAATACTCATATCTAACACACAATATCATTGTTACTATTTTTCAGACCATGTTTTAACTGCCTTAAGATACTAATTCATTTAAGCTCAGAACAGCCACATTAAATTGGGACTGTTATTACCTACACTTTACAAGTGAAAAATGTGAGGAATATAGAGCTTAAATATGTTTTCCCTGATTTAATATGGCAAGTAGGTGTCAGAGCCAGGAGTTGAAACCAAACAATCTGATTGCTTGGTATTTCTGTTCTCTATTTCTATAGCTAAACTATTCTTGCTTGAGCTAGGGTTAGAGTAAGTAGCTATGTTACTCGAAGGCTATATTTTAATATGATTATTTATTAACATGGGCATTCTCCCTTATTGGATTATGAACTTTTAAGTACCAAAGAATCATGTTTTATTAACTCTGACATACATAGTGCTTAATAAAAATTTTTATTACTCCTGAATTACAGCTTATTATTGGCCTGACATATTCTGTTCAGGAGGTTTCTACTTTGAAATCATTGGTCTTTGATTCACAAATAAAAAAATGCAACTGTTACCTGTAAGAGGAAAACTGTATTCATGATTTTTTAATTAACTATTGTTAAGAATAAAGTAGCATGAGTGAATCAAACTAATTTTGTTTAATATAGGATAATTTTAGAATAATGTTACTTGGTTGAAACTCTTTTCATTTTTTTCTAAATACTCTTTTCCCACAGGGTGCTGCTTTAATTAGAATGCTGGCAAATTTTATGGGCCATTCAGTATTTCAGAGGGGTTTGCAAGTAAGTAAAATGTTTTCCATTTTCTTTTTATCTTTTTCCTGTCCTCATATTTATTTTAAAGATTTTTCACAGCTTGAAAAATTGCCAATACAAAATCTCTGAATTTGATGGAAACCTTTCGGATGAGTAAGGTAATCAGTATCTTTCCATATGACAAATGAAAGGTAAGATACTCACTATACCAACCAATAAAACTCAAACTGTTATATTACTATTTAAAATCTCTTTACTACACATTTTAAAATTGAAGTAATTTTCAAATATATCGGATCCTAAATAATCTACAAAAGATTTTTGATTCTGCTTCCTTTTTCTTCCATTTAAAATGTTATATAAAGTGAAAACAAACTATGTTAGTCTTTACAAAAATGTGTATTTGTGAAAATCTTGATTTCATATTTCAAATATATGCCTTTTATGCTATTTTATTGTTGACATGTGTGGATCGTTATTTGTTCCAAAGTTATTTAAATGTCTTTAAATTAGAAAATACAATATTTTAAATAAAGGGGGAAAGTTAACAATTTTATCTTACTGCATTTGTACTATGAAGTATGGAATCTAACAGTGGATTCTTAGAAGAGAAAGATTCTTAACTCTTGAAAGCAAACACAAACATAGAAAAAATGTAACTTTTATTCCTTTGCCTCTGTTGAAGTAAATCATGTTCCTAGCAGCTGTGATTGATGAATTATTTATGATGCATTCTGCTACTTAGAAGTGTCCTTTAAAGTAAATTGATGTTCACCTGAAATACAATTATGCCAAGACAGAGAGAGCAATCAATCTTATCTGTTCTTAGTAAGCTTTTCATTTTGAAATTTAAATAAACTACATATGGGACCAGGTCATATATTAGTAGTCTAATTTGATCTTTACCTAAAATAAACTAAAAAATACAAAGCAAGAGTTAAACAAGTTATGATAAAGCTACCTATACTTTAAACAACAAAGAAAAAAGAATACATTTCTTGAAGAATAATTTTCCTTAGAAAACACTGTTACAGATTTTCTCCAGCAGATTTGAAATTTACTTTAATCAGCTCTTTCTATTCGGGACATCTTTAGAAGAGCTGAGTTCCATTGAAGCTACTGACCAGGTGCTCAAGTCTCTATTCTGATCACATAGTTAGAAAATCCTTTTTCTCAAGGAGTGCCCTCTATGAATATAAACTTTCTGGACAAATGTCCTTCCTTATCCCCACTCTTTTTGTTTCTCCCCACCCCCCCTCTCCCCAATTGAAGTTGTAGCATGACAGTTCCAGAAAATATCTAAGCTTTCTTAAGGCAACATAAATCAAATTGGATTTCCTGGTAGCAAGTTGATGTGAAATCATTTCCTGTATACAATTTTTATTGTCTTTCCTCATCTGTGTGTATGGATTTGTTTGGTAGATGGAATAACTATAGCGATATTATTTGGAAAGGATTATTGTCTTGCAGCATTTTTTCTTTATCCTGTCTTGCTTTCGGTGGTATGCAAAGTACATCAATTTTAATTCACCCAATTCTAGTGACCCAAGTCTGTTCAGTTTTATCTGAAACAGACTATTTGCCCTCTGACTCCCATATATTAAACTTTCATTTGAAGCTTGTGTTAATGTGTACCTTTATGCTCTGATACTTGATTTGGTTAATTTTCAACGAAGGGACTCTGTACTTGTCAACATTGCATTTCATTCGCCTTGTGACATCTCATTGATCAGATGGATCTGTATCCTTCAGTACTTCCTCGCAGCTTTATTTATACTCATCACTCAAGCTGATTTAGTGTATCATCAGCAGTTGGATTAGTTTACAGTAGATTCCTATATCTAGGTGATAAATTATCATCTCTTGTGCATGAAGATGTATGGGATACATTTTGGAAATGACCTCCTGAACAGACACTTTATGTCATGGTGCTGAGTGGTCACAGAGTTGATATTAATATATTTCCCATCCACAAGTCTCTAGGGAGTCTTAGTTTTATAGTCTTGTAGAAAGAGCTAATCTGGACTTCAGTGCTCATCTCTGCTGGAAAATCTATTAATTGTCTTCACATTAACCATGGCTATTTCTGTGTTGACAAATGGAAGTTTATATTTGCAAACAGACGCAGGTTAGATTTAAAGGTGTAAACAATTCCAAATATTAGCCTTATAATATATTTTTCTCTTTCTTCCTCCTTCTTTCCTTCCCGATCTTATTATTCACCCTTTTCCTTCTTGTCCTCCCCCTTCTTCTTCCTCTTCTTCATCTTCCTCGTCTTCTTCTTTCTTCTTTGTATTTGGTCCTTAGCCCTTGTATTCCACACAGGAACAATAATAATGGTGGGTGTTTTTTCTCCTAAAATTTGTGCTATCTTACAAGTTTTGTACTCTTTTGACTCATGTTCTTTTGGAAACAAGGCGAAATATTTTTACTAATGCAAACACAGGAAAATTATTTATGATAAATAATAAATACATAGGGTGTCTCCAAAATGCATACACACTCTAACAGCTGATGAGAGAGAAACATCGATCAGCTGCCTCTTGCACACCCCCTACTGGGGATGTGCCCACAACCAAGGTACATGCTCTTGACCGGAATCGAACCAGGGACCTTTCAGTCCACAGGCCGATGCTTTATCCACTGAGCCAAACCGGTTTCGGCAAAAAATGAACTGTATGTTAATAAACTCTGACTTTGTAATCATTCAAATTGAGAATACAGTTTTTGGAACATCCTGTATAAGAAATATAAATAGTAAATTATAAATGTAATATTTTATATATTAAATATAATAAAAATAATATACTGAAGTAGTAGGTTTTCCTGTCAGTTAACATGCTCCTATTTAATCTTTAACGTACCTGCGTATAGATTAAACTATATATTTTTTAATTTTTGTAATATTTTATATAGGGAAATATATTTTAATTTTCAGATCACACATATATTTCTCAGTAGAAAGGGACTCAAAGACTTTTTGAAAAATGTTTTGCTCCTGATAGCCACATAATCCATTGGGTCAGCTATTTGTAAGTTTAAAAAAAGTTTGATACTGAATAACCACAATTTTTCTGGTCTTTTTGATACATTTTTATCTAATTTCCCTTGCTTTCTGAATTTTGTCTGATGCTTAAATCCTTCAGTCTTGCGGAGTTCTTTCTTTTTATTTTTTAAATAAATTACCTCAAAACATTTTTTAAAAAGTGTATACATTCATAAAAGTTTTATCCTGGCTACCATTAGTAAATTAGCTTCTGTTTAGATGTTTAAATTGGAAGTGAGGTGTAGAAGCTACCAAGCTTGAAACTTTGATTTTGTATGCCACTTGCAATAATATGTTTTTAAAACATAGAGATGTTTATATTTTGTAAACTGAACATATCTACTATCTAAATAATTCATTACTCAAAATAATAACAGGCGTATTTTGGGAGGCATGAGGCAATGGAATGAGTAGGGAAAAGTGACTCTAATTTCTGTTTCTAATTAATGACATGTTTTCTACAAGTAATTCAAACCTTTCTTGGTCTCTGACTTTATAGTTACAAAATGCAAGAGTTGGGCAAGATACTCTTTAAGATTTTTCCCACCTTTTAGATTCTCTGAATTTAAAATTTATTTGATACATTTTACTAGTTAGATAATTTGGGTTTGGTACTTTAATTATGGAAAGTATTTTAATTTGATTGAAAAATTTATAACTTAGATGTGTAAATCTGAATGATCCCTATTCTTGAATCATCAATATTTAATAATCATCTGCATATTAAAACTATACAGTTGACCCTTGAACAACAGGGCTTTGAACTGTGGGAGTCCCATTTATATACAAATTTAAAAAGTCTATGTATCATTTTGATCCATGGTTGGCAGTCCACAGATGTGGCGTGTTAACTGAATGCATTGATGTATACCATATATATATATATGACTTGAGCATCCATAGGTTTTGGTATCCATGGGGGTCCTGGAATCACCCCCATAGTTGCTGAGGAATGACTCAATTTTGGGGGTGTCAAAGGTTACACACGGATTTTGACTCTGAGGGAGTTGGTGTCCCTAACCCCCACATTATTTCATGGTCAAATATAGCTCTACAACTACTCCAACCAAATCAGCATTTGTTGTTACTGAGAATTTTTGCTGGTAATATGTTTCTTTTGCCAGTATTAAGAACCAACTTATATTACCTTTGATTTTTAGTTACTTTTTCTATTTTGTGACACTTTATATTTTGTTACACTTTCATATTTTGCTCTGGGTAATTTACATGTTTGTTATTAAACTACTAGAGGTTCAGTGTACGAAATTTGTGCACTGTGGTGGGGAGTTCCCTCAGCCCAATCTGCACCCTTTCCAATCCCTCTCACAATCCTGGACCACTGGCTCCTAATTGCTCACCTGCCTACCTGCTTGGTCACCCCGAATTGCCCATCCCTGCTGGCCTGATTGCCCCTCACCACCTGTGCATGCCAGCCTGGTCACCCTGACTGCCCCCCCTCCCAGCTAGCCTGGTTGCCCCCAGCTGCCTCCTCCCTGCCAGCCTGGTCACCCATAACTGCCCCCCGCCCCACTGGCTTGGTTGCCTCCAACTGACCCCCCTGCTGGCCTGGTCGCCCCCAACAGGGCCCCCTACACCTGCCAATTTGGTTATTTCTTACTGCCCCTCCCCCCCAGTTGGCCTGGTCACCCCCAACTCCTCTCCCCCCCGCCCAGCTAGATTGCTCACTCCCAACAGCCTTCCTGCTAGCTTGGTTGTCCCCAACTGCCCGCCCCCCCAGCATGGTTGCCCCTCCTGGCTTCCCTGCAGGGCTGGTCACCCTGTGTAGCCTTCTTGTTCAGCTGTTTGGTTATCCTTCACTAACCCCCCTCCTGGCCTGGTCACCCCACACAGCCTGCTTGTTCAGTCATTTGGCCATCCCTTGGGCCGGCCCTGGGCAGCTGAGGGGACTGAACACTACTATCTTGTGGCTGTGGGCACTACCATTTTTGAGGACATGACAGGCAATTAGCATATTCTCTCC